TCCTTTCCTATCTCTTGTCCATTTTCCATTTCAAATTACAGGGTTTTGTGAAAGATCAGGAACAGCAGCAAATGAGTGCTAAGGGCAGAGACGAAATGTCACCCAGAAAGTAAGAAGAACGAAAGGACGAAGGCTGGTGATGTGCTGTCCTCCCACCACACTTGTGGGCAGCAGCTAAGTTGCTGAACTTCTCCAAGTTTCCACACTTGTAGAACAAGGGTAATGAAACTCTACCTGGATAAAGGTCGACTGAGACGTTACCTATGAAGTGCTACGAGGCAGTTCAACAAATGATCATTCTTAATAATGAGTAACAATAGATAATCAGTCCAGAAAGAATTCTTTAGATTTGAAGTAACTCTTCAGATTTCTCCAAAATGAGGTATGTATTAGCATTTGCTCAAGACTGGTGAAGGGGACACTGTGACTGGCACTGCAGACTGAAGGTCAAAGAAGACAGACATAACCCAGCCACAGAGGGCCCCGTGATACCCTGCACAGGCTATGGAACCAGGGACTGTGCTACCCTGCAGAGGCTATGGAGCCAGATGACCTACTGACACCTGCCAACCTTCCTTCCTGCGGCTTCTCCTGGTCACATCCTCCACCTCGCATAATTCTCTCACGAGTGGTGAGGAAGCCGGCGGGCCTCTCACCAGCTGCTCAGACCTTTCCCGTGCTCCCCTCCAAGGCCACACAGCAGCACTGGGGCTGCTAAGTCACTCACCCCCTGTTGAGAGGTCTAGGTGGTGAAGGCTAAAGATGTCATGTTTCTAAGGGCACTGGCACTTGAGTAGGAGACATTTGAAAACCTTAAAGCTTTCCAGTTTTTTTAAAAAAGTAACCTGAAAGTGAAAGTTAATGTGGGCATTAACATATAAGGCAAAACAGGACATGATGAGTCAAAACTAGTCTTGACCGCCCCTCAGGAAGGACCTGCAGAGACAGAAGTGGGTCCAACTGTTGGTTTTGCTTCTGAAGCTGGGACGGACAGCTCGTGCTCCATTTGAACACCATCTGAAGAGGCTGATTTGTTCTTAGGGGCTGTGTGGTGGGCATATCATCCATCTTCAAATGCTAGAATCCTCTCGGTGTGGGGAGATGTACCCCCAGAAGTGAGAGGTACAGACTCAACAGCTATGCCTCTCCTCACTCCCCTGCATGCCTCACTGAGAAACACTGGCCATAGAACTGAAGCTAACACCATTTCTCTCTCCCCACCCCTCTTTGTTTCCTTGCAGGGAATAATGAATTGAATCCAGGAAGTTAGTACGTGATGTCCCTTCTACTGTAGAGGTACCTCAGGAGCCACTGAGATTATGTTTAAAATTTTGTTTTCAGGAGTCAGGGGAATTAATCAGAACCCTTCTAAACTAGTAGTTGTGGTTTCCATGGAAGACAAATCCTACCCGAAGCATACAGCATGAAACAGCTATTGTTATCTAAAAGGATGGCAGGATTCTACCTAAAGGGACCATGTGTTCATGCATGCACATGTATGTATGCCGTGTATATGGACAGACAACAGCTCTGAACCATTGCATTAAAAAAGGAACGTCCGACAGGTGTCAGCAACAAGCTCTCTTTGGAGGGCTTCATTCGGCACAGCTGCTTGGTGAAGACTTCCTGCTATGCAGTTGCTGTGGAAGACCCTGCCTCCCCACAAGGCACCTCGTGCCTCCCGGCCAATCTTGTCTGGTTTTCCCACCTCAGAGGCTCCATCTTCCCCCAAGGAGGAGAGGTAGGTAATCTGGTCCACATACCCCTTACACCAATAATATGACCACGGTGTTGACCACACCAGCATCCCTAAAGTAGATGGTCTTCCAAATGAGGAAGACAGGGCTCCAGAAAGCTAAAAGACTTGATTTAGAGCCATGTAGAGTCTTCCCTTTTGAGCCACCAGCGTTCCTACTTTTCCTGGTATTGGCCTTCTCTTCCAGCAGACTGAGACCTTAAAGGAAAATGCCTGAGAGAATCCTCCAGGGAGGGCTGGGGTATGTGGCAGTTGGTCACTTCCCCTGGACTTTCAGAGCCACAGGAGCTCAGTACAACACTTGCATCCAGTGTCACATCTGTGTAAGCTCCAGCCACAAACACGTGCACAACAGTTTCTGAATAAAATGAAAAAAAGATTTCATACAAAACATACAACTCTGCATTCTTCACTCCCTTTTCAACAACTAAAGCAGTTACCCCAGAAGTGGGGGACCCTGATGCCATTCCATGGTCTCTTCTAGACTCATCCATGACAGAGCAGGGAGCTCAGCTCTCTGGGGTCAATCACGCCCCCATTCCTGAAAAGCTCTCAGAGGTCTCTGCCTCTGTAGATTCTAATTCTTCACAATGGCTTGGCCATTATCAGCTCAAGTTTCAAATGCACAAATCTCTTGCTCTTAGCTAGATGGGGAACTTAAGGGCAAAAGCCTGTCTTATGTGAATGATGTCCAACGTCCTACTCTCAGATGGTGGGAGAGAATTTCAGCATCATCAGCACGCCCTTCCTTCAGACAGTGCTCACCCCTCCCTGAACTTGCAAGGAGCAGGTGGAAGGAGAAATAAATGGTAGTGCTGTTACCTGCAACCAGTCTGCCAACTGCACTCAGCACCCTCTTCCCGCCTGAGGAGCGAGCTCCCTGCTTCCCAACCGCAGCACCTGGGACTGGGGTGGGGCAGGCAGTGACCTGGAGGACAGAGGAGCCCCGCTTCCCACCCGGCAGAGCTGCCTGCGCTAGGGGGTCAAGGTGAGAGAAGGCAATAGAAGGGGGGGGCAGTTGAAGAGCTGGAAGTTTCGGGAAAGGAGGCGAAGCTAAGAAGAGTGGGATAAAGTATTTCCAAAAGACAACATATACAGATAATTACAGAATCTGAGAATTTGGGAGTACAAAGGGCTTTTGGAGATATGACAGCAAAATACCCTTATTAAGCTACAAACTTAAGCCTGACTTGCCCCCAAGTTACTAGTTAAAAGCTAAGAGAGGCCTTAAAGAGGCAAGTCTCCCAGTTTCAGAGTTCTTTTTCCTATGTACCTCTTTTTCTTCTCAGCTCCAAGTAAAGACATGTAGGCCTGAGAATCTCCAAGAAAGGAGGAGACCTAGCCCAAATGGCTGGAAAAAAAACTTATACAGCATCCCCAAGGAAGAGATGCTACGTGCATGTAAAGCACAGCAGCTCTGAGACCTCTGCTTTCCATCAGCCTCCGAAAGTACCAGCCATTGTGTTATGATGCCCCAAATTAAGCTGATTAAAAGGAGAGCCATAATGCTCGTCTGTCAGCCTGGACAGGTGGCTCTCCACAGCACTGGAGGTCGGGCAAGCCTCCAGCTTTGACGATGACAGGCCCCCTCCTTGCCCACGCCCCCAGCCCCGGAGCCCTGACAGCTGTGTTTGTGATCTCCAGCTCGTTACATGGGCCCCGGACTTCCTCTGCTTGCTGGCTCCAGCTCTGCACCCTGCACCCTCCTCTGCCTCCATGAATGAGCTGACGGAACTCCTACCATTAGCCCTCAGTGTAACTGCATCACTCCATTGTCACCACACACGCACTGCACTCAACAGGGGTACAAAGAGCTGAATGAGCCCCAGACCCGCAGCCAACTCAGGCAGAGACAACTTAGGAAACTATCTCATTCTTCCTTTCTTCACAGGCTGTTTGGCTTATTTCCTTGCATACCAAATGAGTCCCACAGAAAAATAAGGCAAGTGAGGGAAGCACCAGCCTCCAGTTCTACCCACTCCCCCCTGCAACCCCCAGCTTCCTTTCCAGCAACTCTTCACAAGGTTCTTGACCACAGGCCCTGTATGGTCCACAGGGGACAGTCTCAGTAGGATTGGCCTTTAGGATAAGCTATGCTGTGAGGTGTTGGGGCTTCTAGGTAAGGGGAGCCAAGACACAATGCTAGGGACCCCAGGAGTAATGCAGTCAAAAGAGACACTTCTTCCACTTCACTGTGAGCTGTTGCAACAGCTCGGTGACAACCAGGGTCATCACTTGCCACAATGACCCCCAGGAAGGGATAAGCTCAGGACCTTCTCTGGGCGACATTCAGAATGTAAGACAGCTTTGATGTAACCTAGGTGGAAGAGGACAGATATAATGCCCAGGTGACATTATAAGTCTATGTCTCTCTGTTAAATACTTTCCAATAATTTCACGACATCATCACAACCTGTCAGTTTCAATTCTACTTTTTCATTAGGGAGTCAGTAAAATTGTGTCACGTGAAAATGAAATGACTTGTTTTAAGAGAAAGTCAGATAAATCTTTCCAAGGACCCTAACACACAATTAACGTTAAGAAATAACATCGCTTTCGGAAAAAAGCCATGGAGAGACCAGAGGATAATAAACACCCTTGGACCCCCGTGCCCACGCTCTGTTCTGTTCCTCCCTGGCCCTCGGCAGTGCTCCCCAACACCCCTGCCAGGGGCTCTGCAGAGAGAGCCCAGTAAAAGCTGGGTCTTGCTCAAGAAGTTCCACAGACAAGTGGAGAGTGAGATAAACGCTGGCACAAGGCATGAGTGGAGTGCCCGGGGGACGGAAGAGGAGCCCTGACTCTGCCGGGGAAGCAGGGAAAGGTTCAAGGGGACCGGGGCAGCTGATCCCTCCTCCCACACGTACCCTTGGCAACGGAAGCCCGGTGGAGGTATCACCAAAAGCCAGAACTGTGTCTCTGGCTGGTGCCTGTTTTTAGCAACACTTATGAGTGGAAGGAAAAAGTACTTAAAATATACCACCCTCTGAGACTTTTATTCCCTGTAAAACTGTCAGGCTTCTCACTCAGCTTTCTGTTTGGAATGAAGCGTTCTGGTTTATTTTGGCAACCAGAGGGAGCAACAAAGACCAACTTTCTCAGAGCCGCATGGGTCCCTTCCATCAAAGCTTTCTGCAGTGGCCAGGGAGCTGCAGAAGCTCATCTGGCTGTCTCAAACCAATCAAGGGACCCCCTTTTCAACAGTTTGATCCCTGGAAATCCCGACACAGCGAAGACTGTGAGCTCGAAGAGACCACAAATGACAAGGTGCCAGGGCAGGCAGAGAGCTGCGGGATTCCAGGGTAAGATGCTGGCTCCTCCTGATTCTCATTCAGTGCCTAGAGCTGGGGGCGGGGGGGGGGTAGTGCAATGCTGCATGCCTGACTTCCTGGTGGGAGAGCCCCAGACGAACCTGTGGGCCTTTCACAGCATGGCCCAGGGACACTGTATGCATGTGTACTGGTACACCTGTGTTCTATGTGACAAAATGTGGGTAACATAAGAATTTACAGTCAATCACTTTTCAGTGTGCACTGGCACCAAGGCCATTCAGTCTGCTGGGCCAGCACCAGCATGTCCCGCCCCAGAACTTTGTCACCAGCCCAGACTGAACCCCACACCCATCACCAGCACCTCTCTGTACCCCCACCCACCCCTGTCCCAAGGCCGTGGTCACCTGTAGTCTGCCTTCTGTTTGTATGGATTTGACTATTCTGGGAAGCTCGTATTAAGTGGAATTGTAAAATAGTTGCCTGTTTGTGTCTGCCTTATTTCACTCAGCATGTTTTCAAGATCTGACCACATTTGTAGCTTGCACCAGAACTTCATTTCTTTTTAAGGCTGAGTAACGTTGTTGCACGTTCAGGACACTTGTTGTTTTTCCATTCCACAGGCATTTTCTGTCCAGTTTAGGCAGCTGGGAAGCCTGCATTTTACATCCGGCCTGGTGAGCACCTTCCTGAGTTGATTTTCTACTGCATGTATAGCTTCTAACACATTATTTGCCATCCACTCATTTGTGATCTGCATTTGGGAGGGTTTTACATACTTCATTCCTGATTCTCCATACTGTTGCTAGGTTGAAGGCAGGAAACTCATCTTTTATTTTCCATGCACCAGCCACCCCCATCCCTCCCAACTTCTACCGTGGGACCTGGGGCCCATGCCCTGCTCACAACGCAACAGCCTGCAGCAAGCGGGCCTTCCATGCACACTTCCAGAAGAGAGTGGGGAGTAAGTGGGCGAATGAAACATACCACTTCTTAACTCACAAAATGGTAACAGAGCTCAGGGAAAAAACTCACCTCCCTCTAAAAGCTAAGGCATTCTAAATGCTAGCCCTTACATACTCCTTCACTCTAAGCTGCAGCGCTTCAGAGAACACAGGCTGATGAGTGGGAGGAGGCTCGGCCCGGCCCTGGAAGTGAGGCATACACAGATTGCCTGGCTCAAGGCTGCTGAAGCCTTTCCGCTAAGAACTTTCTCAGCAAGAGAATAACCAGAGATAAGCTTGGAGCTTACTGAGGGCTTGAATTGTTCTCTGAAAAAAAGGTATAAATTTAAATTTTAGATTCCATTAGGTACATGCTTGTTTTTTTAATATTAAAGTGTTCAACCCCAGGCCCACCTGTGAGAAGGAGGCACACCCATGCACCCAGTTAACAGCTGGGGTTTATGAAACTGAGGGGTGGTGTGCATTCACCCAGTCTGCAGCCGACTAGAGTGGACTGGCTACATTGTGCCCCAAAGGGGCAACACAGTTTCTGCAGGACACAAGAGCCTAGTTCGCAGTTCTGAAATGCAAGGTGTAGTCCGAGAGCCTTGGTGGCACCCCAACAGTGACCTCTGTCCATTTGAAACTAGTAAGGGGTGACAAAGAGAGGGATGGGAGAAGGCTGGACACCCACTGAGTGGGGCAGCAGGTATGGAAGTATCTGAAAAGGTTACAGTGCCTGGGGGTCAAACTCCTGTCCCTGACATTTTTGTCTCTGGGGGGGGGGGTCAAGGAAGGGCTTGTCCTAAGCTGGTTGGGAGTCTTCGTTGCAAGGCAGCTGCAATGGGAGATGTTCAGAAAAGGGAGGAAGTGTGCCATTTCTACAACCATTAAGTTCTGTCCAAGGTTTGTCTCCAGAGGATTCAAAAAGCCTTCTTCACCTGAAGCTGCACAGGAGGAGTCATTTCCATCTGTATTCTGGAAACCACAGTTCGAAGCCTGCATTTTGGAGCCAACATTTTAAAAGCCTATCTGAGAACCACCAGAGGAGGGCCTGGGTTTGCTGTAGCACACCTTCAACACCTCCCCGAGTTGTCTCCTGTGGGTGGTCAGAATTGCCAAGGTGGGTGGGTGAGAAAGCAGCAGCCTTGGGCTCTCTGGGGTTTAACCTTCTGCTCAGCGTCCCTGGTGGAAGCAATGGCCACAGGCCTGTCAACCACATTATCCCTAACTCAATATATTTCCACGGCATGACATTCAGAATCCCCCTGGAACACCCAGAGGGACCATCACAAAGTTCCCCTGCATTCCTGAGCCTCACCATGGTGACTCACAAGGGCCTTGGAGCTGACGCCCCGCTCTCGAGGTGCCTTTAAACCAAAGGCCTTTTTCAAATAAAAAGATCCCAGAGCTGCAGCAAGGATGGAGTGCAAAGTTCCCAGACCCCCATGAGAGCTTCCAGGTTCTAGTCCCAGCCCTGCCACTGCCCCCAGCACCCTTCCCCCACCTCCCAGGCTGGCTACCTCAGCGCTCTCACCTCCCAACCTCCCAGAACCACCCTGGCTTGGACCTTCTGAGGACTGCAACCTCTTGAGGCTGAGAAAGAGCTTCACTTGACCCTGATCTGTCTCAAAACCTTTCTTCTGGTAAGGAGTTTCCAACTCCAACAACCAGAGTACAGCCTCTGGGCCTTCCAACGGGCACTCAGCATGGAAAAATCTACATCTAAGAATAGTTCCTTGCATTTGCATGGCACTGTATTCTTTTCACAGTGCTTTCTAATCCATTACCAGGTTGAACAAAAGGGAAGCAAAGTAGGCAGGCAGGGTCAAGGGGTCGGTCAAGGCTGACACCATTCTCGTGTGTGTGTGTGTGTGGGGGGGGGGGATCTGCATGTCCACCCCTCCAGGACCGCAGATCCTTGCTCTGGCTGCCCCTTCCCCTCCCTGTGCCTTCCGGCCCTTGTGCGAGCAGACACAAGGGCTCCACAGTGGAGCACAGAGAGCCCCACGCACACGCACACGCACACGGAAAGGAAGCGACGATTCCGAGGTACCGGGAAGCTCATGCTATGGGCGTTATGAAGGAAAGTGAGTAACCAGCTTGCCCTCCCTCTTGCATCCGTCTGCTAAGTTCTTTGCTCCATGAATGGCACACAGACTTTCAAAACCTTCAGAAAAGGCCTTACCTGCTGGATTTTGTACTTCTTTGAATGGCTCTTTTATCAAAGAAACCAGAACAACAAAAATACCTCCCACACATTCATCAAAGCGTCTCCTTCCCTGAGCCGAGAAAGGAGACGTGGTCACAACCAAGAAGGTGGCCACCACCTACCACGTCGGTGTTGGTGATCTTGGCCAGCAGCTCCACCAGGGCATCACCAGTGAGCGAGCTCACTTCCTCATCCTGCTGCAGCCCACAGATGGCAGCCCCCACACTTCCAGTCGCAATCATCGATGGTGGGTACATGGCGAACTTGAAATCTGCGAAAACAAGAGGCAGAAGGTCAGGGCATGCACAGGAAGGGCTGGGATCCAGGAGCTCCCCAGCCTGAAGATGCTCCGAAACTGAATGGGGTGGATCGGCTGCCCAAGTGACCCCAAGCCTACAGACCCTACTTCCTGAGACTTGCATGCACAGGTCACCCTTCCTTTATTCTCCAACCCTCAGCACCCAAGGAGAGTACACAGGAATATCACTTGAGATCAACCATTGCACCCCCATCAGATGGGTAAGTTGGTTTAGATTTTATGGCCCGAAGATCCCATTTTCTTGCTGGGGGAAAAAAAGTAGTTTGCTAAAGAAGAGCAAGATGAGGGTAAATCTGTAGGGCCCCAACCCCCTCTACTCCCACTTCTACAAAAGTGAATACAGAGGATGCTCCCACTGTACAGAAGGCTCATCTGGGGAGCCTACATGGCTCTGTCTTCTCTGAGTACTCCTCAAAAGGAGCTGGTGGCCAGCAGGGAGCAGGTTGCCCCTGCGCTGTCCACTGAGGGGGCACAGTCCACACAGCAGCCACATAAGGTGCACACAATTATTACACTAGTGTTGTGGAGGAGAAATCGGACACTTCTAACCATCTGAAACGACCCCTCCGCCTGCCTTGTGTTGATGTGTTAAAGAGATTAGTCTGCTCACTCCTAGTCACAGTCCTGGAGTGGAACATATCTTGCCCAGTGAGCTACCTCTAGTGTGAGCTTCACTCCAGGGAATTTGCTACAAGTGGAAGTGGGGTGGGGTGTATAGAGGGGAGACATGGGTTGCACTGCAACTTACAGCATAAATATTAGGTTGAACCTTCACAAGCAGTTCCAACTAGTATTTCCTCTTCTTCCCATATAATGCCAGATTGTAACACAGTCCACAGAAGCACTTTTACCAGTGACCACACTGTCCAGTACAAGTGAGTGGTGTTCTTAGGAACATGCCAATCGCTGCCCTGCACACGCCTCCCTCCTGACCCTGCTGAGTCCCATGAACACAGCAGGCTTGGCCATCTGACAGATCAACGGTCTGTCTTGTCTTTCTCCTTGGCTTTCTTTCCTTAGCCCACTCACCATTTCCACCCCTTGAGGGACACACACTATGATGTTCTGCCCGAATCTGCTGCCCACCAGCTCCTCCAGTCCGTCTCCATCCCCACGGACGCTAACAAAGCCAAGTCCCCTGCCTCCTACTCTGCTGTAGGTCCCTTCCACATGGGGTCACAGGAGTGTTTCTCTGCCCAATAACCTAATTAGCTTCCCCCTGTGACATTCATAATGCAGAGGAGGAAGCCAGCCCATGGCCCTGGGCCCACAGAAGGCTGGGTGGGAGCATCTGGCCGGGAAGGGCAGGAGGGTATCCCTGGCCTCCCTTCCCTTCACTTAGGCCTCAGACCAGAGATATCCACCTCATGTGTACCTATCGTTCTCATCCCTCTCCGTGCAAAACTAACTCCTATTTATGGCAAATTAATTAATGTCTGGAAGCCAGGAGGTATATACAGGTGGTCCAGGGGTGCAGCAGGCACTGGAGTTAAGCAGGACTATAGTGGCTTCTTGTTTTGCTAAAAAAACACGAAGGAGGGCGTCCTAGTGGTACTGTCCTCTATCCCCCCAAACGGGGAGCACAGTGTGCATGAAGACAGCTGCCTGCTGACAGATCGGGGTAGCACAGAGTCCTCCCAGGGCGAGAGGAGCTGCTAGAAGTCAGGCTAGCTGCTGCTCCACTGCCACCCTTTATGGCAGCAGACCAGTGTGATCTGGAGCCTGGAGCAGCTGCCCAGCTGGCGTGCTTCATCAGACAGGAGGCGACATGGGCACTAAGAAGCCAGGTGCAGACTGTGGGACCTTGAACCAGTCACTTCCTCACTCAGCCCCTGGAATGCCATGTGTCTCATTCAGGGTGAGGTTAAAATCAGCCTTTCTTCTAACCTCCAGGTGCAACTCATTAGCGGGTTTTGAAATTCATTAGTGAGGCATGCCAGCATTTTTGGTTGTTGTTTAATGGATAAGAATAGGATAGAAAGTATCAGGAGGTAGTGCATGTAGTAAGAGTAAATACCATTTTGAGGAACTTTGTAATAGTCTGACCTATTTATGTGTCTCCTGTGTTGTGTTATAAAATGTCTTTGTCCCCTTACTGTTTAGGTCAAAAAGTTTAAAGACCTTAGGCTAGCTAATCTCCCAGGCACCTTCCAGCTCTCATTTGTTTTTTTACTCAAATACCTGGAATAAGAACCACGCCCAAAGAGAAAAGCAGGGAAGGGACAGTGGATGGCAGCATGGCTCCCACCAGCCAGCAGTCACAAGGCATCTCATTCGGCACTGCATCAGGGGCTACCCCAGGACCACCTCACAGACACATCCCTCTGCTGGTGGGGAAACAGCAGAGAAAAACAAAAGACTGTAACATCTGAAGGGTCGTGTCCTTGCAATAGCTCTAGACAGCCAACCCCCATGCTCACCCATTAAAGGTTCTACCTAATCCAGCCATTCCTGGAAACCTTAAAACTTTGGCTACACGACTGGACTGAGAAATGCTCATGATATCCACTTAAGGTGGGGGGAGGCAGAAAAACATGCATGGGTGTTAATATCACAAGCTTTCATAAGTATATAAATATATACATGCATAGAGATGAACTACAAGCATACACGAAAAATGTGTATATGAAGTTTGCTACCATTAGGTTGAAGAAATAAAATGCTGTAAATTTTCCTTTAGTATCATTTTACTTTTTAACAAGTAAAAATCTGTAAGGCTCTTGGTCAAAAATTCTAAGAAGCCGCATCTTAGTACAGAAGACACTCAGAGTGAGACTCTGTCTCCACCCTCAGCTGCCCACCGGGACAGGTGAGATGTCTGTGATCCCTGAGATCCCTCCTTCTCCTGAAGCAGAGTGAGAAGCAACAAACTTGCCAGTGACCCATTCTGATTGAGTTATTACAACATGTTCCTCGCTGTTCCCGACAACGCAGATGGTCCCCCAGCACAGTGGTACGGCATGGCACGGTGCATGCCAAATGACTCGGTGTACACATGGGTAACTTCTACAGAAACTTCTCAAGGAAAGGAGGCACCGAAGTGGACAGAAGCACTGGAGACACTTAGGTGTATTCTCCAAGGAGTTGGGTAGGATTTGGGCAGCAGAGCCACGGAGCTCCAAGAACCGGAAGGGGGATGCATGGAGGCTGATGCCCTAGAGCTGTGTGGAGACAGGCACACTACCTGACCTCTGAGCCTCTGATTTCTCACCTGCAAATGAGGGTAATAATTATACCCACCTCACAGGGTTGGTCTGGGGACCAACTAAAATAATTCACGTAGAAGAACAGAGCCTGGCTCATGGTAAACAACCTGTCAGCCGATGCCATACCCTCATCGTCCTCACCACCACTGTCCTTACCGCTGGGACCCGCTATGGAGTTGTGATGGGCAGCTCTGACTGCTGGGGAGTCTGTCCGGGGGGAGTGAGGAGGA